GGAACTGTAGAATTTCAATTACACACAAAATGCAGGCCTGTAAATACGATTGAATTGTACATGTGGAGACTTGTGTATTTAATAGAGAATTATTTTAGGAATCGATCAAAGTTTCCAAAACAAGGAATTAGAAAAAGCATTAAGGGATGTGCAGATAGTGAGATACCGTTTTGTAAATGATAAATTTCCAAACGGAATGGTAACTGTCAAATTGAAACAGTTTAGAAAGCATCCGGTGTAAGACTAAACGGGTAATTTCCGCTAAACTTAAGTTACTTTCTTGGGAAAATAACAGGAAAGATAACGTTTCATTAGATAGGAAATCCCAGGATTCATTTACGTAATTGACTTGTGTTCTGCACAAACTCGCCCTGCCACAGACAAGCCGACAACCAGTGCTGCGGTCAACCTTGTGCCCAATGACCCCTCGGACCACGCTCCCACCCTAACCCAACATTCCTCAAGGGGCTTCCTATACCTGGTTATTTTTCCTATTTTGAGCATTTGAAGGGAGTCTGGTCTCTATCACAGTTATTTGTTCACAAGCTCCATTCTGTGAATATCACACACAGGACAAAAAGCTTAATAGCGGCGCTGTTTTCATCCCCCGTCTGCAAGCGGGTGATTTTTAAAGCCCTGTCCCTCAGGATATGTGTTCTGTTCTTCGTAATCCGTGGAAGGTAGAATGGACTTAAAACCTCACGTCACAAACCGAATTATCGGACTCTCTTAGCCGTGTCAACCCGCTAGGCGTGTTGTTTGATACACGGAGGTTTTGTCAGTTAGTTGGCCATAAAAGTGAAGTGTGGATGTTATATCAGGTTTTTAAAGTTATACATCCGGTGATGTAAACTACCCAGTGTGCACTCATGCAATCCTTTGATGCAGTTTTTTTTAACTAAATGTCTTCCTTTTTTTGCTTTGGTTAGAGCTGTATTTTAGGGGTAATTAAATGTATTAATTAGTGTTACTAGTTTGGTTTGCATGACATGCAGGACATTTTATATAATTGAACCCTTGATTTCTGCATTGGTTTGAACGTTATTTATTGATCATTTCTACCTGGTCACTATTCTAACGAATCATTACTTGTCCCTGAAGAGTCTCCCTTTTCACGCTCCTGTTTTCCTCCTCTTCTCACCAGTATGACGGATCTCTGGTTTTAGAAAACACTCCTGAATATTCTCTGACCTTACCGCATGATGAAGTGCAGACGTTGACCATTAGTACGCTCCCGACACCAGACTGTATAATGCCATTTTTGTCAACGCTTTCAAATTGACCACTGTTGGCAGGCTGTGTTGCCTTCATCGCTTCTCTTTCTTTGGCGCCTTTTGGGAATTTTAAGTGGACGGAAGGTTGTGAGTGATATGTTGTCTAGGTTACAAGCAGTATTGCGCTGTGAAATCACCTAGAAACAAAGACACTTTTTAGAGTTATTTATGTTTTCATTACGTCACTGTAGATGGTTTTCTAAGGCATCACAGAGCCTTTGGATTCATTTCATAATAACTTCCATTAGCTTCCCGGATCATTCTGATCTGTTGCATGACTTAACCTTGTTAAGAATAATCGATCGTAACAGCGATGTTTTGGGTGAAATGTTTACATTAGGGCGGAATAATTAGAGTAATCCCTACGACTTATTGGGACCTTAATTTATTCAAGATTTATACAATTAGGAAGTACCCTGAAATGACAATATTAATTTCCTTTGCTCACTGGGCGTTGTGGTTTCGATGTAATCACGAGCAATACAGGTTTCCAAATGCCGTGAATTGTCAAAATAGGCCTGATGGTTTGAGTTATGAACAACTTGATTCCCTTGACCCAAATGCCGGTCGGTTTTGCTCCCGTTTCCCAGGGAATAACTGGACTTCAAATTGTAGAAATATTATCATTCTTCCAGTTAGTGTACCATATATCATAAAAACGAAAATACATTTCTTGAATCGTATGTCTATATAGTAGACTGGACAGAGCAACAGTAAATACAGAGTTATGTTCGAACTGGATACCCAATTATTTTCACCAAAATATTAACATTGATAGCACTGCTGGTGTAATTTACGAGTCGTTTTGGTAAACTATGGAGTGGTCCGCACTATTTCAGGAGTCCAGAGTCAGACGGCGTCCGTCGCCCATGTCACTCAGTTCATATTTTATGATCCACAGATCCAAGTTTTGTGTCTTAATATCTAACGCACAGCCGCACACTGTCAATTATAAAACATAGAAATAAATGGCAGAAACCTGAATGTGTATCTAAGTGTTGGGCTGAAAGTAGGCAACGTTTGTCGAATAAAACATCACCGGTAATGATATATTGAGCAATATGCTGTAAATTAGACCTGATTTGGGAAGAGTTTGGACTAACTATCGCAGCGCGAATTGAAAGAAAATATAAGGGGAAATGTATATGGGTGAAGTGGGGTCGTTTTGCAGGGACGCGGGCCGCGACAGCACGGCGCGACATCCGTTCTCACCCGTCTAAAACACGGCAGTGATGGGTGTGATGAGAACGCTTGAATCGCTCCGTGGTGTGTGGGAAGAGAACATGAGGTGAAGAAAACAAGGAAGGGTACAAGGAGACATAGTGTTTCCTTTTGAAACGTCTCGTAGATTTCTTAAAGGACCCGACTATTTTTTTCGATATGAATGTGTATCTGATGTTCAATCATGCCTTGATGGACACTGGAGCTTAATTAATTACAGTCCCGCTTGAAAAGACAGGAAGTACATGCTTTGGCTGAACTGGAAACGTAAAATCTGTATGCTGAAATGAAGATCTGAAGAAACTTAGACCTTTGCTTGCACTTTTTGGCACTGTATCTTGGCTATAACTTGGATAATATATTGATAGATTCAAGATGTATACGCAAAACTACTTTTTCGTTTCAATCTTTGGAACGATTGAAGGCAATAGATAGCATCATTCCTGATTAAAAAGACTGACAATATCCGTTCGATTTCCGTGTCATGACTAATTTGAGCAGCTTTGACAGGAGTCGATTTTGACGTATCATGGTGCGTGTCTCTCAAACAGCTCGTGAAATTCACCAAAACGGAACTCCCTTTTCAATTGTAATAAGTGGCGATCTGTACTTTCATGTCTGATATGGTTCCCTTGCGGATTCATTTTGTGTGAACTAACTACAGTGGAGTTGAGATCTGCTTCTAGAAAATTGCTTGTGAAAGAATAGCATGTACGAAAGCACTGGAGATTATGCAGAATTAGGGAATTCCAGTAGACTTCCTCTTAATTTCACGTCTTGGAAGTTTGCTAATAGCCTGAAGTCACTCCACTCATCGAAGGATTAAATCAGCGAGGAAGGGTCGGTTCCTTTCTCGAGAAGAAAAAAAACCTTGTGTTTTTAGGAAGCGGGAAATGAGTGGAGTTTTTGAACGTAGGTTCACTTTTTGGTGAGCTAAAATCATTGACCTTTTGGCAGTGTTTCGTTCGACAATAGCTAAACTATAACGACGCTGTTGTTGAGCTTTCGGTTAAAAAAGTTTGGAAGCCTTTATGGAATCGCCTGAGCGGAACAGTTTAGTAAAGTAATAGTCGGCAATGTAATAGGTTGGTAATAGCCGAATGGTCGTCTGTAGAGTAATTGCAAAACGAGGAGTAATTGTTAGTTTTTTCCCTTCGCTGTCATTACGATGTGATATCACACACAACTCTTTTTCAGATGATGCCGAACGCTCTCTACATATCTCAAATGAAATGTACCCCCCATTTCCCAACAACAAAACTCCTCTCTAGGAGGCCAGATTCATTATCTTGTGTTTTGGGTTGCCTCTTCAACTAAAGTGTGGATGGGACTTTGTGACGGAGTCTCGTTAAGTCAATGAAGCGTGTTTGGCGCCAGCAGACAACAAGACCATCGCGTCTCTCTACCCGTCTATTATTCTCCTGTTCCCCTCTCTCATTGTTCACGTTGGGTCGGAATAGACTGGATGGTTCGCCTGGTGTCTGACCGCCGTGTCATCTGTCTTTGAGTCGGCATGGGGTACTCGGTCTGTACCGGTCTTCATTGGTCTCTTGAAAGCACAAAGAAACTGGAGACACCAATCTATTGTCGCGTTAACAAAACAAGTTAAGGATCACTTTTCTGGTGACAATGGGACTGGGAGTGAGCAATGGGTCTGGTCTTTTGGTAGGGGTACAGGGGACGGCTCGCTAGCAAAATGCTGGAGTGTTGTTTGGTAGACTGTCACATACTTTGTCGGGGACGAAATTGGTGGGTGTTTTGTGATGTACCTGCCCCATGATACTAGACACCCCTTCATTCTGCCATCTTGATGGACGCGTATTTGCCGATGGCAAGGCTGTACCAAACGAATCACTGTCATAGTGATTCTCTACTCTGTGTTATCTCTGAAACCCTTACTTGCTCTATGTAGATACAAAAAGATAATTTCTAATCCATCAAATCCATGTATTCGAATCAAAGTGGTCAAAGGCGGATTTTCTAAGACATTATGTTGGAAAACCCAAAGGAAACTAAATATAAGAACATAAACCAAAAGGTTTTGCTTATTTATTTAAACCAGTCATAAAACAAGTATCCTCACCAGTACGACAAAGAAATGGAATGGCATGTGCATTACATTCAAGAATAGGGGGCTGCTTTCATTTAGAGTGAAAGTGTGAACAACACAAATTGAAGTGTCTGTAACATTACACTTTTCAGTTTCCAAGATGGTATGAGTGCATGAATAATTGGGGAAAGATGCTTTGTTCGGTGAAATTAAATGCATTTTATGGCCAATTTGTATACAGTTTCAAACGAAGAATTTACGTGCATGTCTCAGAAGGTTAGATACCAGTATGAGAGTCTGCAATGTGCCACAGTTTTCGATAAATCATTTCTTTGTTGAACCTACATTGTTCTTGAAAGTTAGTGGTAATTTCTGCAGGGAATTCTGAAAAAAAGGGGTACTCATATAAGCAAAAGCTTATTGTTTAATAAACCTTTTTTGTTTTAACTTAACAGGTGAGGTCCACTGTTACTGTAACTCACCAAGATGCTCATCGAGTAATTACATGTGCGAGTCACAACTCGGATGTTACTCACTACTCGTCGACAGGCAAGGGAACACTAACGATCCGTACCTGCACGGATGTATCGAATCGATTACCATGGAGAAATGTGAGGAGATTGCTCGATTGAACAATGAGACGTCGACTGTACCGGCTGAGAGTGCATCTCAATATCAAGATCTGTCTTGTTGCTTTGACAGTATGTGTAACTTTAAAGACGGATCTGAGATCAACGAGGATTTGGAAACATTTGGTAAGTTTTATTACACATTACCGAAAATGCTTTGGTTTATTTATTACATGGGTATGCCCAAACAGTTTAAATAAAAGTGGTTTCCACTGGGTTCCTGCTTACATTACAAATGATTAGACTACATGCACATTCACGTACAATTACAAATACAACACAAATACTACAATACAATTATACAATACAACACAATACAAGTACAATTCAATTATACAATACAACAAAATACAATACAAAACAATACAATAAAAGCACATGTATAGAATTAATGCACAGCTATTAAGCAACTATTATAACTACATTAACAACATCGCTTAGCAAGCTTTACTCAGGTGATTTAAGTGAACAGAAAGAATGTGTATATATTGTGCAATCAAAACGTACAGGCTAACAATTCGCTGATTACGGGAGGGGCGAAAACTCCGCGAAAACCCTTTGGGGCGAAAACACGGGGAAATTCCCATCCGGCTCCTTATTTCTATGGCAACCAAGTTTGTCAAGTTTGTCCAGTTCGTTATCCGAAGCACCCTTAATGGCGCCCTCGTAATCTAAAGGTACACTTAATGGCTCTTCGGCGCGGTGTACAGGCTGATCAATTATAATTTGAAGGGAATTAGGTTTTATGTCGATTACCAGTAGTCCTAAAAACCCATGGATGACTACCGGACGTTTTAGATTTCTGGATATAAACAGAAAGTTTCTTTATTTGATTAATGGAGAACATTATTGAAATGATAGTGTGATATTAACTTTCCAGTATTATTATGCAGTCTATTTTCTGACAAAGCACGGACTTGATCACCTGTTTGAGAAATTTAAAATGTTTTTCTGGGTTCATTTTTTTCAAAAGAGATCAAAAGTAAAATCCTTTCGATTAGCCTGTTCATGTCAGGCTTAATCCGTCAGCATACCACTGTCGTTGGCTTGGTTGATGTGGATGATTTACAGACAGCGCGTGTTAACCTAGAACAATCGACGCCGCTGTGAAATATGGCCAACAGCCCGCGCAAACATGCCACGTCGCCACCGCCTGGTAGTACCCACTGTATGTAGAGGTCGGTACCTGATATGAGATCAGCACATACGACTGTTGCATGGTTGACGGTAGAAATTAACCTGTAAAGATGGCGGCACTTGTTGATGTATGATATAGCGCCCTCTGTCGGAACAATTGACACAGTGTCAGGCAAGAGAAGATCATTATTTGATGTTTTCGTCAGTTCAGTTATTAGTGAGGAAATGAAGCGGGCCGCCATTTTTTATTTGAAGAAAGATTCAGTTACTTTTATTTCAAATGTTATGAACAACTTTGGGCACACCACATTAAAACTAATACAATGAGAGAACATGAATGTTCCAAGATACATCCCTCTAATTTTATTGCGCGTTGTAGTTAATTTGTTACCGAAAATTCATTTTATTTTCGAATGCTCATTGAAAGACAAACAATTAAAAAGAACTGTCTAAACTGCCTGTACAATGATAATTTGATTGTGAACTCTGGCTAGACAAAGAGACGACTGCAATTGTTTGAAACAAATGGAAAATGGAAGTAGATTGTGTGCTCTAATGTTAATAAAGCCTGTAAATTGCGTGGTACGATGGCGCCATTTCTGTTGATAGTTCATTAATCGGTGTGGCGCCAATTGGCTAAGCCACATAATCCGAGCTACATGTGTATGGATTCTCTGATGTGATATTATTAATGTTCAAATTGTCGTCTTATTAATCGTGGTAGACCGTGAAATTGCCATTGTCGCTGTTTCGCTCGCAAGCTTCGTTGATGGGTACGGACTTAATGTCAGCAAACTCACGAGTAAAGTGGTTTTTGAAATCGTCGCTTTGCTGTAGAATTCGTTTGGTGTATTTGAACAAAAATGAGGATCTTTCTGATCTTAAATGAAGTCACCGATGTGCTACATTCCCGTGAATTTAAATGTACAAGAAGCATATTGTGTTTTTCCCGTTAATGCGTCTCCACCATTTTTTGTAATACTGGATTCTTTCGAAAGACGAGATGAGATTAGGGCGTACATTGGCCAATCCCGCTCATATCGCTTCAGGCTAATTGAAAACTCCAGCGTGTTTGAGATATTTTGCCACTTCGGAATCAGATATTTAAGTCTTATCCGATGTGACAGCGGGAAAAATCCCAGTTGAGCTCATGAAAGCTTCGACTTGAGACGATTTGAGACAACTTGAGCCCTTGAACAAGTCGGCTTCTCCTCATGAGCAATTTTGGAAGTCCAGATGGTTTTGTGATGTCTATAGCTACTTCACATCTTTTCAACTCATCTGTGGACGCCCTAATAGAGTTTTGATAACCCAGCGGTAGATTCAAGCGACCCGAGCTGACACCAGTTATTCGATCACCTAAGATGACTTTCAAGTCTGTGAAATATCAAGTCTTGGTTTGAGCGCGTTTGAGAGAAAGTTTGTGATTTTCTGAAGTGCACTAGTAAGAGGCAGTAGAGTGGCTGTCATTGGTCTAAGCATTATGTGCCTGTAATTTGATTGGACAAGCATAAGCGCGCATCGTGAACGTCAATAGCCAATCCGATCATAAGAATAATCCGGAAACTTAAAAGTTTGCATGGTGGACATGAACAATGAATGGGAGGTTTGCGGTAACACCGTGTGAATGATATGTCTTTTGAGTTATGTGGTTCTGAGAAGAACCAATTGGTTTAAATCGACGTTTCGAACAGTATGCTCTGCTCGTTATCAGGAGACTGAAAACACAGGAAAAATAATGCTGTCTCTATCCACGATCTCTCTCTCTTGACCTATATTCTGTTGCCTTTCTTTCTTGTCTGTTTAATCACATCATTCTACAGAATCCTGCAGCACTTACTTGCACATTGTCATCATAAGTTCACATTCTCAAGAAATACGAATGGTTACCATCCATGTCGATTGGTTTTGCGATCATTGTCAAATGAACAGCGGGCCTTAGCTGACTGTCAGGCGGCTCAATCACTCCACGCTCCCGCTGCTCTCGCTTGACGTCTTCGAGACCTTGAGGTCATTACTATACCCCAGAGGTTACCAAGCTGCAGACCAGCGATTGTTCAACTGTTTTCCTCCCGTTCCTTTTCTCCCGATTCGACCTTTCCCTCGCTGCTTTAGCAATTTTTTTACTGCAGGTTTCATGTGCGGATGTTCAGCTCCTATTTCTCATATCTGGGCGCCACTTTTTTGATTGCCCCATATGGGTCTGTCATTACGTATTTACCGGCTGAGGCCTGGCAAGTTTCCGTCTACACCATTTGTTATGGAGATCAGGGTTGTTTTTCTTGTCTGAGGTTGGCTGATACTTACAGCTTTGCTCGATTTGCAAAATCTATGCATATGTCTCTGGAGATGAACGTTTACCTGAATTTTAAATTAAAAAAGAGGAGAAATTTCCCAATGAATTCAAAACGTTCAGAGAAAATTCAAATGGCCTACAGTTTGTATTTTGAAAAACTGGAGCTGTTTCAATTATCATCCCTCTCCCAGATTGGACCGCCACTTAATTACCACACGATGAAAACCGTATAGATTAACGCTGTAAGTTGGTCGCTGAGGGCGTTGCAAATGACGTCACAAATGAGGTCATGTCAGTTTGTAGTTTATTTTGTATATGAGACATCCCACATGTTCTAAATGAAGGAGGATAAAAACAAGAAACATATTTGACTACAATACGAGTATGTATGCATTGTAGTTGCCACCCAGTATGTGCGAGTCGTCGCTTCTATCAATACCTAGTTTCTCTCGGGAAGACATGAACTAGTCTTATTCCTCCTAGCCTAGCGGGTCTTGTCTGTCGACGCGTCCTCTCCCAAGGGGGATGAACGGGTACATCAACACCTGCTGACCGCCTAGTCAACTCCAGAGTCTCCGGTGTTTGGCTCGAATTATTCAAGCTATATAAACCTCTGTCGTGATGTCTGCTGGTCGAACGCGATGTAAACATTCCCTGCTCTTTGGTACAAAAAACAATTGTTTTCAGGCGTGATTGCGGTAATAAGACTGTCATTGTACTTTCCAAAATTTCACTCATAATTACAATAATGAGTGCACGTAAGCCAACATTGTTCGTTTTGGTTCCGGATCAATCAGCATTTAAACATTTCATATTTACATGTTCAGTTACTTATTTATTAACTCAAATTAAAATTCGCATTAAGCGAAACGACCCTCTGCGATGGGAGAAAGCCACTGGCGATTCTTCTCGTTAATTTCATATTCGGTAATGAAGTTCACAAATCGACATGGTCTCGAGGAGCGTGTACTTTTCAGTTGGAGCCAAATTGCCTCATTAATTTCATTCCGTCTGTAACCAGGGACCTTTCTTTTCGTTTGTATATCATTCAGGGTAGTTTGGATACAAGACTTTACTGCGTCTGTTTAGTGGGGGGTAGCGTGTATACGCGCGGTGCCAGAAAGGCGATTCGTTTGAACCCAATGCGACGTAGATGAAAAGTGCTATCACTCGACCATATCGCAGTCAAATAAATATTTATTCAAGCGGTTGATATGAAGAGCTTTGATAAGCCTGGGTCTTTCCTGTTTGATATTCAACATTTGCTGGTTGTTCAGTTAATACAGGGTTTTTTTGCTCTCGCTCTCTCTCTCTCTCTCTCTTTAATTTAACACGCACCTTTGGAAAATGCTTCCTTTATTTTGAGTCATGAATAGTTCGATTGCTGTGTTTGAAACAATTCTAAATTCTTCGTTTGTAAATGGGAAATTGCAAATTTTGTAATATTTACTTAATATTGAAACATGACATTTGAGCAATATCGTGTACTTTCATCGTAGCATATTGAATTTATGCTACTTGCTCATAATTACAAAGTTCGTTGTCTTCCCAAACAGATTGTTAAATCATTTTCTGCTTCATCTTGTGCAGTTTGATTTGTTTTGCGTGTTATGTGTTTTTCACATTAAAATATAAACAAAATAGCAGATCAAATTTCAGCTTTTATCTGCTTAAGCACTAAATGCACATCCTT